AAGTGTTAGAAAAGCTAGAGAACCTGGGAAGGAAAACCACTCAGGCTGACCACAATATCTCCCCTAGACTGGAAGCAAAGGAAGGTGAAAAAAAGCAACGTGATTTCGCTGAAGGCTTACAAAGGCCTTGCAGAGATTGCTGTGAAATGCCTATGTGAGCTGCTGGTGGCCCTGCCTCACTTCAACTTCCACAACAACATTATTGTACTGATTGTGCCACTCATGAACGATTCTTCGAAGCAGGTAGGTGGCCCACATTAGCTGATGTTGCTCTCATGCTGAAAAATTTGGCTTTAAATGCATAAACCATAAATTAAAACTTGGAACTTCTCAGATTTCAGAAATGTGCTGTGATGCAGTGAAGAGCCTCTTCAAGCAGGATAAGCTAGGATTTGCCTCACTCGGTGTGGTGAAGGTGATTTCTGGCCTTGTGAAAAGTCGAAATTATGATGTCAGACCTGAAGTGAGTTTTTCAGTGTGTCTTTTATTTTATTTCATTTTTTTAAGATGGGATGATTTGATCCTCTTATTATGAGACAAGGGCATATTTAAAAATGCTGTTCCTTTTGAAGCAGTGTCGATTCTATTCACAGGCAAAAACAGTAGTTTTGTCCAGGATATGTTCATGGATTAGTATCCTGCTTAAGTCTGGCCACTGCGTTGTCTTCATTGGATGTGAGAGTGTGTCTTAGATTTTTTTTCTTTCCCCTCCTATGAACTATGCTTTTAACACATTTGAAAAACATATCCCTTTGAATTATCTGTAGGTATTGTTGACACTTCTTCACCTAAGAATTAAGGAAGTAGAAGTAAAAAAAGATGCAGAAGATATAACACCAAGGAAGAGGTTCATGTCCTGTAAAGACAAAAGGAAAAATCTATCAAGGATGCAAAGAAAGGTACTTTGCTGAACAAGTATTACTGGAATTTAATTAGAAAATTAGCCATGGCTGTTGCTTTTGTTTGTTTTGGCCTGGATCTATAGCATTATAGTGTGTTTCACAGCTGAAGCAGATTTTGAGTTAGTTTGTTTGAATGCTTTCCTGTGACAAATCCCTGGTGAGGGAGCAGCTGCTATTAGAAAGGAAATGCTTAAAAGACCCACTGAACATAGGGAATTTCCTTTGGTACCTCTGTACTGGGGATGCTCAGTGCGGTGTAGTGCTTGAGAGAGCGAGCACGGGGAGAGTGCCTTGCCTTCCTCAGAGACTCAGCCGGTCCGCGGTTCCAGAAAGGTTGGGAACCACTGGTAAAGAGGATATTGTGACGAACTTGGATCCAGGAGGCTTGGGTTTGAATCCCCACTCGACTGTGGAAACTAACTGGGAGTGTACAATAAGTAGACCAGTCCTTAAATATCTCGCCTACCTTGAAATCCCCATGGTTCTGACTTGAAGGCACAGAATAACACCATGTCTGTAGTGAGCCCCTGAATTGTTTTATCTATGCTTGTAATCATTTTGTGACCCTTTGTACTGAATTTTGAGAAGCAAAATTGTTACTCCAGTGACAAACATGTTTTTATACATTTCTGCGTTTCTCCCATTTGTTGCTTGGGCATTTTGGGGTGGATGAATTTTTTTAAAAAACTGGAACTGATTAGCCTTTGTATTGTTGAGATGTTCTCAGTAGAGCTGAAAACACTCCTAGCGCTCGTCCTCCAAACATGTTTCAGAGGATTGGGAATACACCACAGGCTTGCACACTCCTGCCATTGCCCGTCTTGGTTCAGACACCAAGTGCAAAATATAGTCAGGATGTGGCGGCAAATTACACAAGCTATCTGCAGGAGGAAGCAACTAACTAAATTTAGAGCTCAAAAGAGAAGCCAAAGGCAATCTATGATTTATAAAATTGGAAGCATTTCATGTAAACTCACTTTAAAATATTTTGTCAGTGATAATAATAAGGTGCCACAGATTAATAACTGTGATGAACTTCCCAGGGTTTTCTGGGTATAAAGTATTCGGAAGTGGCTTCTCAGGTCCTTCTCCTCCTTGCAGTGTTGGTTGCCCAAGGCCGCACAGGAGGCAAGGCAGGTAACTCTGTCAGTCACAGACACTTTAAGTGATCTCATCTGGTCCCTCGGAAGTTTTGGACCCCTGACTCCTTTTTTGCAGCCGAGGGCGACAGCCCACTCAGCTGTGTCAGCTAATATTATCAATAATGCAGTAGTATTTGTTGCCTCATGTAAGATTTGTTCATTCTAGTGGAAGAAAGCAGAGGAGAAGCTGGAGCGAGAACTCTTAGAAGCAGAAGCCTCAGAGAATGCAGAGAAAAAATTGAAACTGGTAACTTTCCCCCTCATGTGTGTGAACTGGTTTTGGGATTTGATGTTGTGCGGAAAGAGACTATATCCTGTAGGACTTAATCTGTATTCTTTATTTTCGTTTTGATGGGTTTTGGAGTCTGATCATAGACTGTTGGTGGCATGTATGTGCAATTATCCAATTTACAGGCTGATACAATGACCCTTGGGGGTCCTTTCCAGCTCTACAGTTCTGTGATTCCCTGATCGTGGAGGAGTTAGCCTGCATTGTTGGTTGCTTTTGCTCAATACTGTCATTTAGACAGTGTACGAGTGCCATAAGAGTACTGATCTGTTCATTCTTTAACGCATTCAGTAAGTACTGGTTTATAGCATTAATTATTATCTTGTTGGTTGTTCTGTGACCATCTCTATGAGAATTGATAATTCTGCAAACCAATAAATAAAAACTGAGTTTGTTAGACATTAGTGAATTGCTGGGAGGTAGGGATGAAATTAAGAGGCTTTGGATAAATGGCTTCAGGATTCAGTTGCGTGTGAAAAGAAAATTGTTATTTAAACATAGACGAATATTCCATGTGTTCCCATTTCTCTGTTTTCCCTTACAGCACACAGAAACCCTGAACATTGTGTTTTTAACTTACTTCAGAATTCTGAAGAAAGCACAGAAGTCTCCCCTTTTGCCAGCTGTGTTAGAAGGTCTTGCAAAGTAAGAATTTCAGAGTTTAAGTTCTAACTTCGATGGGTTTGGATACTGCTGCCAAGCAATATTCTAAACAGTGTGTGTAGCTGAATTAGTCCTGCTGCACAGGGCTGGGGTGTTTTTGGAAAAATTGTGCTATCTTGATTTGTCAGGACTACACTTTTGCTGTGGTTTTTCTCTCAACAAGCCAAAGATGTAGTTCCTTTTTAGTAAAGGTAAAGGTTTCCCTTGACATTTTTAGTCCAGTTGTGTCCAACTCTAGGGGGCGGCGCTCATCCTGCTTTTCAAGCCATAGAGCCAGCGCCTGTCCGAAGACAGTTTTCCGTTGTCACGTGGCCAGCGTGACTAGGGAACGCTGTTTTTACCTTCCCACCGAGATGGTACCTATTTCTCTACTCGCATTTACGTGCTTTCGAACTGCTAGGTTGGTGAGGAGCTGGGACAAAGCGACGGGAGCTCACTCCGTTGCGTGGATTCGATCTTACGACTGCTGGTCTTCTGGCCCTGCAGCACACAAAGGCTTCTGTGGTTTAGCCCACAGGGCCACCACGTTCCTAGTTCCTTTTTAGGTCAATAGAATTCTGGGTACTCCTTTTCTACAAACATGATCATTGTTTGTAATAGTCACTAGATAAGCATATGCACTTAACATTAATATGAAAAATCATTGCTAAAATATGTGATAAACAACTTATTTATTAAAATTTTATGCACGTCATAAAGCTTTTTTTCTAGCATGGCCTTCTCATTTTGCTTCCAAATGGTTACTGGAAAGTAGAGATAGGCATGAACTGCCGGTTCAGCAGTTCAGGCTAGTTCATTTTTCAGCCAAACGCATGTTCGGCAGTTCCCAGCCCCAGCTCCTCCAGCTGGCGCCCACTCAGAGGCAGCGCTCGTAGGAGGCGTGGCAGGGCAGCTGGGGCTGCTCTGCTGAGTAAAGCGCCCACCAGAGGAGGCAGGGCTGGGAAATGCCAAAAATCTGAAAGATGAACTGATACAAATCACCAAACTGATGGTTCATGCCCATGTCTACTCGCAAGTGAAATAGAATATTGATTGTTGTGGTGGCAAATCCTATGTGATTATATCAATTAAAGCAATATAATTGAAATAGATTGGTTTCAATTGAAAGAAATACCTGCAGAATCATGAATGTAACTCTTCTTGATTTTAGGTTTGCCCACCTCATAAACTTGGAATTTTTTGATGATCTTTTGATAGTTCTTCATTCTCTTATTATGTCAGGGGTAAGTTTATCCACCGTCTTAAGAAGCAAAAAAATTTTATTTTATGCCAAGCTGATACAGTTTTCAGTCTTAGGAGCTACATGTAGCATTAGCTGAAGAACTGGGGGTTGTTGCTGTTGTTAATATATTTTTCCCACTTTTCTCCTTAAAAGGACCCAATATGGCCTTTATGTGCGTGTCTGTGTGCATACACATACCTCTCATACATACCAGTGATCCTTCTTTCTTACTTAAGAGAGGTAGAAGCCTATTTTTACCCTGTCCCCTAACAGTCAGTCTACTGACAGTGGGGAAAGAGTGGTGTTTTTTTTTATGAACCATGAGGAAGCAAGCAGCTCAAGCTGGGGAGGTAATTTGGCACATGAAGATACCAGGGCCCAATGGGGAGGCAGTCTTTGTGATTTATATATTTTATTTCTAGGTGCTGAGCCACAGAGAGAGTCTGCACTGTATTCTTTCTGCTTTTCATATTTTGTCCGGTCAAGGTAAAGGGCTTTGATTTTCCTGTTTTTGCAAGTTAATCAGATTGAATCCTTTTGCTTGACAAACTTGTGAGTGATCAGTGATGAATCAAAAAGACTTTAATACTGTTAAAGGTTTTGAATCTGTCTCCAGTCGAAAGGGTGGAATACAATTGGTCGGGAAGATAGTAAGAAGGCAGTACACAGTTTGACTCTGGGCTAAAATAAGTGGCTTTGTTGTTCTTAAAATACAGTGGTGCCCTGCATAGCGAGGTTAATCCGTTCTGGATTAACCGCCGCTATGGGGAAACATCGCTATACGGAACTGAAAACGCCATAGAAATGCATTAAACTTAGTTTAATGCGTTCCTATGGCTCCAAA